AAATACAAATATGTTAATATAATATAATATAATATAATATAATATAATATAATATAATATAATATAATATAATATAAATACAAATATGTTAATATAATATAATATAATATAATATAATATAATATAATATAATATAATATAATATAATATAATATAATATAATATAAAGTATATAAAATAAAATAAAATATAGTATAGTATATATACTAAAATATAGTATAGTATTCTATAATATGATACTATTTAATATAATAAATTAATAATTTAGCCTTTTCAGAGCATGGAGGCAGATTCACCATTCCTGGGGACATTCCCAATAAATACAACACCAGAAGGGTTGGACAAAATTCCAACTCCCTCCCAGGTCCTTCCAAGTCCCCCCAGCCCAACCCTGGTCACCTGTGTGCCACCTGTGTGTCACCTGTGTGCCACCTGTGTGTCACCTGGGTGTCACCTGGGTGTCCAGAGGAGCCCGGGTGCCCCAAAGCCTCCTCCCAGCTGGAACGTGGAAACTGGGAGCACTGGGAATATTTCTGGCACTGGGAGCACTGGGAATGTTTCTGTCTGCTCTGGGAGCCCTGACTTTGACCCTCAGCCATGGAGAAAGTTTCCTACACTTCAGGCTAGACTGGAACCCACCAAAGTGTGAAATAGATTATAGAGAGTGCTGTGGGTGTATAATTCAGGTGAGAACTAGACTGGAACCCACCAAGTGTGAAATAGATTATAGAGAGTGCTGTGGGTGTATAATTCAGGTGAGAAATTGAGGGTTTGGGATTTTTAGTATGTTGTGGATGGAAGCATGATGGAGGACACAGGTCCTGGGTTTCCTCTTCATGGGTTTGGGTGGCATTTTGTAATTGGGCACAAAAGTTCACACTGGGGGCTCTCTGGGATCAGTTATTGGGTTAAAAGGGAAAATAATCCAGGTGTCAGCTCTTAATTGGATAGTTTAGTCTTAAAGACCTTGTACCAAGAGATTGTTGGGCATTTTGTGCCTTCTAATGAAGAGTGCTGAGCTCACAGCAGTGAGTGTTTTACTGAAGTAATTAACACCTGAGCCCAAACATGAACTACTAATGAGCTGAAATCATTAATCAGCTGAGAATCACTAAAGTACTGAAATCACTATTGAGCTGAAACCACTAATCAGCTGAGAATCATTAATGATCTGATAATCACTAATGAGCTGATAATCACTTATAGCTGAAATCACTAATGAGCTGAAATCACTAATGAGCTGAAATCACTAGAGCTACAATCACTAATGAGCTGATAATTACTAAAGATCCGAAATCACTAAAGTGCTGAGAATCACTAATGAGCTCATAATTATTTACTAATGAACTGAGAATTTCTAATGTGCTGAAGTCACTAGAGCTACAATCACTAATGAGCTGATAATTACTAAAGATCCGAAATCACTAAAGTGCTGAGAATCACTAATGAGCTCATAATTATTAAGAGCGGATAATCACTAATGAGCTGATAACCACTAATGAGCTGATAATCACTAAAGAGCTGAAATCACTAACGAGCTGAAATCACTAATAAGCTGAAATCACTAATGAGCTGAGAATCACTAATGAGTTGATAATCACTAAGAACTGAAATCACTAACATTTGAAATCACTAAAGAGCTGAAATCACTAAAGAGCTGAAATCACTAATGAGCTGATAATCACTAAGAACAAAAATCACTAATGAGCTGAAATCACTGAGAGCTGAAATCACTAAGAACCAAAATCACTAACGAGCTGAAATCACTAAAGAGCTGATAATTACTAAAAACTAAAATCACTAATGAGCTGAAATCACTAAGAACTAAAATCACTAACGAGCTGAAATCACTAAGAGTTGATAACCACTAATGAACTAATAATGACTAAGAGCTGACCTCACTTTAGAGCTGATCTCGGCCCGAGGGGCCCGGACAGGCCGCGCTTTACTGAACTGTGCTGGGCACCCCAGAGCCGGGCTGGGGGAGCCCCCAAAGCTCGGGGTGACCCCAGGGAGCCCCGGGGTGACCCCAGGGAGCCCCGACTCACCAGGTAGGCCACGAAGGCCAGGTAGAGCACGCTGAGCAGCGCGGCGCCCACGTAGAGCGCCAGGCTGTGCAGCGCCATCACGTAGGCCACCACGAAGTACATGTTGATGCTGCAGATGAGCAGGATGAGGAGACCCCCGGCCACCCGCCAGAACCTGCGGGGAGGGGCACGTCAGGGGGGCAGGGGGCTGCAGGGGAGGGGCACAGAGTGAGGGGGCTGCAGGGGAGGGGCACAGAGTGAGGGGGCTGCAGGGGAGGGGCACGCTCAGGGGGGGGGCT